ATATGTGTATATGTGCATGTATATATATGTTTACATGTATATGTTTGTAGATATATATAGGTATGCACATGTGTATGTATATGTATATATGTATATATATATATATATATATATATATATATGTTTAATTTGAGTTTAATATTCGGGCGTAACAACAATAAAAATAGTATGAGTTTTTTTTTTTAATTTATTTATTTAAAATCCATACGTTTCGGCTAGCATCTTAGCCATCATTCAGTGGTAATCAAGTTAACTATAAAAATTGAAACTAAATAAATTATATGAAAGGAAATTTCTTGGAAAAACAATAATAATAATAATAGTAATAAAACACTTACAATTTTGTATCCTAATATAGCATATGAAACCATTATTAATCCATGGTATGAGTATGTGCACATTGATAAGATATATATTTTTTAACACAAACATCACAAATGGTAAAACACACTAATAATCATGATAACTTAACAAGTTGTCAAAACTGTGTATTTACTCTTCGGAGTTTAGGATAGAAATGTCACATCTTTCTCAAAGCAGTTTTTAGCATGTGTTGATATTTTTTGGAAAATTTAAAAGGCGATGGGATTTTGTTATTTTTTAAGGAATTTTGACACGCTATTAAGAAACCACGTGTTTGCTTCGTTCAAGGCCGTATTGTAAAAGCGTTTGTTTATCACTCTGTCGTGATGTAATTGTAAAAACAACCCCTCAGCGAATCTTCTTTTAATTGTATTCTCTTCAAAATGTAAAATTTTAGGGTTAAAAAAATCGATATTATGATTTAAATTTTTAATATGCTCAGTTAACATTGTTTTAAATTGCTTGGGATTTTTTGAATTATTTTTGTGTTGATTAAGGCGTTTACTCAGGTTTTGGCTAGTTTCTCCAATATAAAAGAGTTCGCAATTAGAGCAATTAATTTGATATACCAATTTCCTGAGGCGGTCAAAATTGAACTTAGATTTCATTTGTGTAAAAATTGAACTAAGGGTTGCATCACAATTACATACCAACAGAATGCCACACTGTTGAAATAGTTTTTTCCACGAGAAATATAAATCTTTTACGTACGGTAGGCAAATGACACCAGTATATGATTCTAAGTCTAAGCGGTTTTTATGGTCTGTGAGGTCTTTTTGTTTGTTAAAAATGTAACTGCGTCTGTTATTTATGACCGAGTTGATTATGTTCGTAGGATATGAGTTGTTTTTCAGTGTGTTTATAACCAGGTCAATGTTCGTGTCCCAGAAGTTTTTGTCAGATAGTAATATGGCGTGGTCTGTTAAATTTATTATTGTCGCTATTTTCATTTTAAGAGGGTGGTATGAGTGGTAATTTATGTATCGTCCGGAGCTAGCTGGTTTCTGGTACCAGTTAGTAATTAGTCGGTGGTCATTTGTACGTATTAGTCTGATGTCTAGAAAGCTAATCGAATTCATTGTCTCTAATTCTACGGTAAACTGTAGTTTTTTATTAAAATTGTTAAAATTATCAGTAAATATGTTAATGTCTTCTTCCGGAATATAAGTAATGATTGTAGACGGAAAACAAAAAGACCTCACAGACCATAAAAACCGCTTAGACTTAGAATCATATACTGGTGTCATTTGCCTACCGCACGTAAAAGATTTATATTTCTCGTGGAAAAAACTATTTCAACAGTGTGGCATTCTGTTGGTATGTAATTGTGATGCAACCCTTAGTTCAATTTTTACACAAATGAAATCTAAGTTCAATTTTGACCGCCTCAGGAATTTGGTATATCAAATTAATTGCTCTAATTGCGAACTATTTTATATTGGAGAAACTAGCCAAAACCTGAGTAAACGCCTTAATCAACACAAAAATAATTCAAAAAATCCCAAGCAATTTAAAACAATGTTAACTGAGCATATTAAAAATTTAAATCATAATATCGATTTTTTAACCCTAAAATTTTACATTTTGAAGAGAATACAATTAAAAGAAGATTCGCTGAGGGGTTGTTTTTACAATTACATAACGACAGAGTGATAAACAAACGCTTTGACAATATGGCCCTGAACGAAGCGAACACGTGGTTTCTTAATAGCGTATCAAAATTTCTTAAAAAATAACAAAATCCCATCGCCTTTTAAATTTTCCAAAAAATATCAACACATACATGCTAAAAACTGCTTTGAGAAAGATGTGACATTTCTATCCTAAACTCCAAAGAGTAAATACATAGTTTCGACAACTTGTTAAGTTATCATGATTATTAGTGTGTTTTACCATTTGTGATGTTTGTGTTAAAAATATATATCTTATCAATGTGCACATGCTCATACCATGGATTAATAATGGTTTCATATGCTATATTAGGATACAAAATTGTAAGTGTTTTATTACTGTTATTATTATTATTGTTTTTCCATGAAATTTCCTTTCATATAATTTATTTAGTTTCAATTTTTATAGTTAACTTGATTACCACTGAATGATGGCTAAGATGCTAGCCGAAACGTATGGATTTTAAATAAATAAATTAAAAAAAAAAAACTCATACTATTTTTATTGATGTTACGCCCGAATATTAAACTCAAATTAAACATATATATCAACATCAAATTCAAGACTATTCAATATATATATATATATATATATATATATATATATATATATATATGTGTGTGTGTGTGTTTACATATATGTTGTATATTTATATGTGTGCATGTGTTTGCATATATATGTATGTGTACGTGTTTGCATATATACATTTATTGTTTTGCGTACATATATACATATATATGTTATGTTATAATTTTTATATAACTATTTTCGTTTCCATAACTATTATCGTTTTTCTGTTAATATCTATTCTTTTTCTTAATAAATTTCTCTTCATCACATATTTTTTCATTTTTACATTGTCTATCATGGTTTTATTATGTTTCTATATTTTTAATGGTAATGGGCCGAAAATCGAAATTGAAAATTTTTACATTTCTCGACGTTTTGAAGGTTTCTGAACATTTTGGCATACCTCAGAAAAAATGGATGTGTGTGTGTGTGTGTATGTATGGATACAAATTTCCAGTCACGTTTTCGGGCGCACGGATCAACCGATTTGAATGGTTCAAAAAACATTCGATTCCTACCGATAGAGAAAAGAGCTGATTAGTTTTTGGCAAAGACAGGTCCAGCCGTTTTGGGGATACGGATCAAAGAGTGCAGAAAATAAAAATCGACTTTTTGAGAGAACAGAGTTCCGATTTGAATGATCTAAAAAACATTCAATTAGTAATGATTGGGAGAAGTGTTTATTAGTTTTTGGCAAAGGTAGGCCCAGCCATTTCGAAGATACGGAGCTAAATATGTAAGAAATGGCAGTTTTTGAGAGAACTAAGCGTCCGATTTGAATGATTCAAAGAACTTTCTGCTTGTCTTAACAAAATAATTGATTTTGGAAAAAAAATTTTTTGTTTCATTTTTTTTTTTTTTTGTATATCGTAAATAATTCAGATTTTATTTTTAATTTTGACTATAGTTCTAGTATACAAATAGTTTCAACTTTGCAATTCAATTTATATAATACTTATAAATATTAGACAATGTTACAATATTTATAATAATTTAGTTGAAAACATTCAGTATTCCTCGAACATTTCGTTACGGTACGGGAAGTTCCAGCAATTTGCCTTAAGGCACGATGCCACCCACCCCACTAGTTTTCATTTTGATCCACATATTATGTTTAACCGTTGATTATGGATCATGGATTATGGATTATAGTATATTTTTTCTATAGTCCTACTGCGCATGATCGCTGAGAAAATCTTCGTAATATGAAACCACTAAAATTCTCTCTATCCCGTTCTCTCATCCAATGACGATACATTTTTTTAAATTTTCATAACTCGACGTTTTATCAATTTTTTATTTCATATTTATTTTTTTCGTGCAATTTTGTGTGTTTTTGTGTTATTTTTCAAAGTTTATTTGTATGGTGAGTTTCTTTACATTTGTTTATTTTATGTTTGTTTATCATATATACTTCTCGTATACATTGTTTTACGTATTTTTATCTGTTAATTATGTATTTTTTATATTGTTTTAATTTGTAACCCTGAATTATTTAATTGTAGCACTGAAGATGGGTCAAATCAAGACCCGAAACGTATGTTCTCTAAATAAAAACATTTTTCATTAAAACTGTTTTTTAATTACTGGATGGATGCCCAAGAAACAATTTTATTATATTATTTCACCATCTGAAGAAAAACCTCTCGCTTTATATATATATATATATATATATATATATATATATATATATATATATATATATATATATATATATATATATATATATATATATATGATGATAGTGTTGTCGACGTTGATACATATTTGTAATATTTTTGCAGCCCAACCGTCGAATTAAAAAAAGATTAAATAACAAAATTATTTATTTCATTAAACGTTTCGACACTTGATGTGTGTCATGATTCAGTAATCAAACCAGGAAAAATAACAGAAAACATTAATTATGATATAAAATTGATTGCACACTAAATTTGTGTAAAATAATAAAATACTATTATATTAACAAACGAGAAATATGAGGAGCACATATTGGAGGGGAATATGTGCGTTTTTCTTGATGACACACATCAAGTGTCGAAAGGTATAATGGAATAAATAATTTTGTTATTTAATCTTTTTTTAATTCGACGGTTGGGCTACAAAGATATTACATATATATATATATATATATATATATATATATATATATATATATATATATATATATATATATATATATATATATATATATATATATATATATCATTTGCATGAATTTCAGTTTTATTATTAAATATATTATTTATTTTTATTTTTCTTTAAACTAAACCCCGTTTCCAGGAGCATCATTAACTATTCACTTCATTAATTTCTTCAATAATCTATCACTGATTGATCTTTACTTCTATCCTATGTACTGCCTCTATTTACATGATCCTTTTGTTACTTCGAAGGAAGGCATCGAAGTAAGTATTTATTTTTTGCATGTTTTAATAGCCTATGACCAATTATAGACCAATATCTTAAATATTTTGGTATTTCAAAGTTTAATAATATTAATTGCATAAAAAATATTACAAAATCCAATTTTTGTAATTATTTCTATTTCGCTATTTGAGTTAATTGTTATATTCAAATATATCATTTAAAAAAATGCATTTTTTGCATTTTGGTAATCTTGTTACTAACTACATAACTTTATTATATTATTATTTATTAACAATTTTATTTTATTCAAAGTTTTAGATTTTTCAGATATTATTTTTTAACTTCCCGTAGGGTAAGTTATTGTATTGGGCCGAAAATCGGAATTGAAAATTTTTACATTTCTCGACGTTTTGAAGGTTTCTGAACATTTTGGCATACTTCAGAAAAAATGGATGTGTGTGTGTGTGTGTGTGTGTGTGTGTATGTATGTATGGATACAAATTTTCGCCCACGTTTTCGGGCGTACGGATGAACCGATTTGCATGGTTTAAAAAACATTCGATTCCTATTGATAAGGAGAAGAGCTGATTAGTTTTTGGCAAAGGCAGGTCCAGCAGTTACGGAGATAAGGAGTAAAGAGTTCAGAAAATAGAAATCGAGTTTTTGAGAGAACGGAGCATCCGATTTGAATGATCTAAAGAACATTCAATTAGTAATGATTGGGAGAAGGGGTTATTAGTTTTTTGCAAAGGCAGGCCCGGTCATTTCGGAGATACAGAGCTAAATGTACAAAAAATGGCAGTTTTTGAGAGAACTAAGCGTCCGATTCAATTGATTCAAAGAACTTTCTGCTTGTCTTAACAAAATAATTGATTTTGGAAAAAAAAATTTGTACCATTTTTTTTTTTTTTTTTTTTTTTTTTTTTTTTTTTTTTTAATTTTTTGTATATCGAAAATAATTCAGATTTTATTTTTAATTCCGACTATAGTTCTAATATACTTTAAACAAATAATTTCAACTCTGCAATTCAGTTTATATAATTCTTATAAATATAAGACAATGTTACAATATTTATAATAATCTATTTGAAAACATTCAATATTCCTCGAACATTTCGTTACGGTACGGGAAGTTCCAGCAATTTGCCACCCACCCCACTAGTTCAGTTTTGTATTTAAGGGGCACAACTAGTGTGAAATTTCGAAAAAATCGATTTTTGTTTTTTCTCATATTTTGGTAGATTACACCTTTAAAAATAATATATAAAAATTCCAAATCGATATCTCAAATAGTTTTTGAGTTACAGCCATTTAAAAATATATATATATATATATATATATATATATATATATAGTAATATTTTTACGAGTACGAGTACAACGATCATTTTATCTTTAAACGCGTTTTTCTCGAAACAGCATTTTCCGAATTTGCTACAGTGATTACTCTAAAACGAATGATCCGATCACTATCAAATTTTTTTACACGTTCTTTATATTGTTCTCCGTAAATTGAACTATCGATTTTTTGATCGGATCAAAAATCGAATTTTGGCAGCCGAAAAACGACTAAAATTTTGGGTAAAATTCGACTTTTTTTTTAAAACGCCGCCATTTTGTCAATTTTTGATTTATTTTTTTCATCGTAGTTCATTTTATAGACAATATTATCTAGTTTAACGAGAATTTTTTTTTTTTATTTCATCTACGTAGAAGGCCAGAATCACTGCAGCAGTTAAGGGCCGTTGGAGATCGACGATAACTTAAAAAATATTTAATTTTTTTCTTCAAATATTTTACCATGTATTCTTAAAACATGTATAAATATATTCCTAAAATTTTGAAATGATTGATAAAATAGTTTTTTTTAATATAAATTCTCAAAAATCACCTTTTTTTAGGCGGTTACACTAGTTGTTCCCCTTAAGTTTGTGTGTTTTTTTTCTGAATTAAACAGGTAAACTTGCTGAATGATCACACACCTACAGTATCGAAACGTACATAATAATTAGTTGAATTATTTATTGCTTTTCATTTGGACTATTTGGCTACATATTGACATTTCAAAAATGCATATATATATATATATATATATATATATATGTGTGTGTATATATATATATATATATATATATATATTGAATGGTAGAGTCTTGGATTTGTGTATATTTTGTAGAGTTTCGAACAAGAATCCAAAAATAATACAAAATAAAAAACAAGAAAAGTTTTTAAAAAAAACAATTTCTTTATTTAATTATTTGTTTATTGTCGACGTTTCGGAACTAGGTACGTTCCATCTTCAGGACATCTGTCAAGAAACATGATCTTGATGAGATTTTTGCAAACAATATGTTTAGGAAAAGAAAATAGATTTTTCTTAAATAATGAATTAAATTGTAAAAAATATAATAATGTACAGAAATATGATAATATGTTCAAAATAAAAATGATAAAAATAAATGAGTGGATTATCAAAACAGGATATTAAACATAATAGAAAATTTTTTTGAAAGTTATGGAAATTTTTTAAGAAAAGGTTAATGACAAAGTTGAATTACCTGTATGTTTGAATATTTGTTAGTACTTTTTCACTAAACAAGCTTTTTTAACAAAAATGATTTTGTGAGTTAATTTTCCACCGAATAATTAGATTTTGTAAATACAAAATTACTAAAAAATTTGTCTTTTTTAAAATTATTATTTGAAAACACAAATAATATTGTTCTCTGGATGTTGTTCGATTGGTTTTCGAAAATTAACTAAATGAAACTGGTGTGCCCTTTGTAACACGTGTAAACACTTGAACGAGAGATGTGAGATTGTATGTGTGTGTTTTTATATGTCAGGGTGTGAATACTTAAATTGTTGATCTTAAAAGGAAGTCGATATTAATTGTTTGTCAAAAAGTGTAAAAAATTTAAATATGAATCATGTAATAGGTTGTGATCTGATCTAATGTTGACACTGTTAGAAACATTTATGAGGATGAGACAACTCTCCGCGAATAACCTTCTAAAGATGCAATTTTCGTGATATAAAATCTTTGGAGTGAAATTAAATGAATGGGCGTTTTCTATAGAGTGTTGTACTAGGGTACTTTTGGAATTTTTTTGTTTATGGTGGACCACACTTAGTTCATGTTGTCTCATTCTCTTGTGTACATATTGGGAGGTTTGTCCAATATATTGAAAAGCACAGTCATTACAAGAAACAGAATATACTACATTAGTATTGAGATTGGATGGGGTGGGGGATTTAATGTTCGTAAAGAATTGGTTGAAGGAGTGTAAGGATGAGCCTGATACTAAAATGTTTTCTTCTAACAAAATTTGGCAAAATAATAATATAAATCTTCAACGTATGGTATGCTGCAGTAAATAAGATTGGTGTTTTTGATGTTAGTACTGGTATTGGGAGAATTAATTGTGTTTTTAAGAAAGTTCGTCTTTTTTGAATAACTGAATGAATGAGATTTTTGGGTAACCATTTTCATTTAGAGTTATTTTTACTAGGGATAAATTTTGTGGATGGAAAGTTTGGTGAGACAACAAAATAGCATGGTCTGTAAGGGAAATAATAGTGTTTATCTTATAGTTTCTGGGACAGTATGAGGAATAGTGTAAGTATCTACCCGACCATGTCGTTTTTCTATACCAATTTGTTCGAATAAAGTTATTAGTGTTGTAAACGGATACATCCAAGAAATTAAGTCTGTTGTTATTTTGTAGTTCATGTGTGAAAATTATATTATTGTTAAAATTATTGAAGAGATCTAGTACTGTGTTTATATGATTTTTGTTAATGATAAAAAAAGTGTCATCTACATATCTAATATAAAAGTTAATTTGAAATTTTAAAGTTGAGAAAACGGAAATTTCTAGTGTTTGTAAAACTAAGTCGATGATTCCGGGAGATAAGGGACATCCCATAGCTGCGCCTTTAATTTGAGAATAAAAGTTGTCTTGGCAATGGAAATAGGAGTAATTTAAAATAGTGTTGATAATATGAGTGAAGACTGTTTTCGGAAAGTCAGTAAAGTTACAAATTGTGTGCCAACGTTTATCGATTGAGTTTAGGATTAATTCATGTGGGACACATGTAAAAAGGTTGACCACATCTAAGCTTAGAAATAAGTGATTTTCAGGGATGTTGCGGTTATTAATTAAATTCACAAATTGGTACGAATTCTTAACATAATAGGGAGAATTGATTGTAACATTTTTTAGGACATCAGAAATGAGTTTCGAAATATTGTAAAAAGGAGAGCCAATGTAGGAGACAATCGGTCTGAAAGAGCATTCAGGTTTGTGTATTTTTGGAAGACAGTACATCTTAGGGGAGATAGGGGTGTGTATTTTTAGGTTAAAAGCAAAATTCTCAGAAATTAGTTTTTGTTTTTCAGATCATTGATTAATTTAAAAGCTATTCTAGAAAAACGTTGGTGTGGGATCTTCTGTTAAAATATTATATGTTTTGTTCATCTTTAAGTAGGTTAAGGACGGAATTGTTGTAAATTCTTTGTCAAGAATGACTGTGATATTACCCTTATCGGCTGGGCAAACTATAATATTTATTAGATTTAATGAAAGCTTTAGTTTCTAAAATGTCTTTGTGGAGTTTCTTTAAATGAAAGTTTTGAAATTTATTATTACTTTCTTTATATGTTTTACCAGTCTGTCACATAGTTTTGATCTAATGTTATTCTGTTTGTTTGTTTCACATGTTTCTAATGTTGTATTCAATATTACTTAGAATTTTTATGAAATCTGTTTTACTGTATTTCTGAGGAAGTATGCAATTTTGGACCTAATGCTAGAATATATTTAACATTTTCTGGAATGTAAATATCAGTTTTTAACTAACCACTTATCTGTACAAGCTTTAGAGATTTGAAGGGATAGTTGTCATCTCTTTTTGAATTAAAGTTTTAGTTTTTTTAATATGTTTTTCTTAGTAGTATTAAAATGTTTGTTAAATTTATAGTTTTCAAAAGCTAAAAATTGATTTAAGAGGTCTTTGTTCAAAGTATTGGAAAGTG